AGGAGGACACACAGGAGGAGGACACACAGGAGGAGGACACACAGGAGGAGGACACACAGGAGGAGGACACACAGGAGGAGGACACACAGGAGGAGGACACACAGGAGGACATGATGAGACAATAAAACGTCCATCAGAGCCTCCAGAGGGAGCAGAACCCTCCTGACCTCCTCCTGATTATGTGGAGTTCCTCCTCCTCCTCCTCCTCTTCATCAGACTGAAGAGTCCAGATGAAGACAAAGAACTCGGTTGTCCAACCCTTCGTTTCATCTTCTGGGAAAGAATAAATCTAATGTCCAATAACAGGAAGGATGTGTTTCGCCAAAATAAAAGCTTGGTGTCAGCTGAAGTCTTTAGACTCTGAACACAACGAGTCCAGAGTCCAGGACTGAGACTGTCCTTCAGAAGAACCTGTAACGTGAACCTGCTGAGCTCCTGGAAAGGATTTATTTTGAAAAACTTTGCTCCTGGAACGAAACAAACTCCTTTAATTTAGTTTACTTTTACTTTGAAATCCTTTAAAACAGATCTAAGAATTAATTTTAATTCATTTATTTTGAGTAACTAGTTTGTAAAAAACAATAACATGGAGCTAAAAATACTTTATTTTGAAAAGCTGCTTTAGATTCGTCAGAAAACCTCAGAAGAAATAAATCGACTTTCATCAAAAAACAGAATAAAAGAAACTAAATTTATCAGATATTATTGTCAAAATGTAATTTACAGATTTTATATAATAATATAAATTAATAATAAATTAGTTTTGCACTTTTTCCCCACAGGAAAACAAACATTTAGGTTTTAATGCAGGGACTATTTTTCAGAATAAAAGCAGGATTAAAGTGTTTAAATCTGACTTTAAGCAGCAGGAAGTCAAACTGAACTCGTTCTGACAAACAGGAAGTAGTGTTTAGAAAGACGCCGTCCAAAATCAGTGACCCTTAACTGCAGAGGACCAGGACCAGGACCAGAAGAGTCCTGAAGACGCTCCGCATCCAGACCTGGATTAGCTGTGGAGCTTTAAGCTGAACTGACCCGCCTCATTCAGGAGCGCTGACCCTTCAGGACACTCCTGTGGGGCCCCCGTCCAGGTCGGGACATGAAAGGGGCCCACAGGCGTCCACAGGAAGAGGCTTTTCTTTCTGAGCTGACAGGAGGGGACGGGGGGGGACGAGGTGGGGA